TAAGGTGTGTTTGTTTATTGCTGGTTTTATGGGTGATTAGTGTTTGTTATTGGTTTCACTGGTGTGAATTTTAAGGATCGTTTGTTGCGAGACATAATTTTGTCACATCAAGACGCGATCGTCAATTATTTACAACACGATTCGTTGTTCGAGGACATCGAAGAAGAGAAACTTACTGAGCAGGTTTGTGGGGTTGTTTATTTACGGTGTTTATTTGCAGTGTTCATATTTTGGTGTTGGTTGTTTGAGGAATGCCAAGAAGCATGGGAGGATTACGAGCGGGAGAAGACGATGGCAGCACCGATTCGAGGTGTATATCTGCCGTATGAACATCAGCTGGCTGCCGATCAAAATCATATCATGATGATGGCGAAGAAAATGAGTCAGTTAGATATTTCTTACGATTGTTATTGTAATTGTCATTATTATTGTTATCATTGTTAATGTTATATTCATTGTTTTCTGGTCTTTTATTTTAGTACATTGAGTTGCCTGTGCCAAATTCAATTTTTTGTGTCTTTTGTAGTATCGTTCAAAGAGAGTTCCAAACGGTACAGTCAAGTTGGTAAAATGGTATAATTGAGGAATAGTCAATTAAGTGTGATGTTTATTCAGATGATAATAATCAAATGTTGTATCGACTTCAAACGGACGAGATTTTCGTACAGGCGTTTACAGTGACTGGCATGGAACAGGATGTTGCCATGAAACTGGCGTATATGAAAATGTTAGTGATGGATTCAATATGTTTTATTTGTTATTATGAATGTATAATTGTATATGATAATAATGCTTATGATTTTCAGAAGTCTGGATAGTCTGTTGCCGCATATGCCTGCAGAAACGCGTGGCGCAATCACTGGATTTGGTGTGTTCTTCTCGGGTCTTATTAAAGTGAGTTTTTCATGGGTTGTTTGTTGTTTATTTTCATTTATTTATTTAAATATTATTTATTGGCTTATGATGATATTAGTTTAATGTGCATTTGAGTGCACTGAAATGACAATAAATATAATTAAAGGAGACATATGAGTTGTAATAATTATTGATGATGATTGAAGGAGATCAACCGCGAGAAACAAACACCACGAGAGTTGATGGATAGAGCATTGCGAACGTTCAGACAAGTCGTCGAATTGACAAGACACATCCCCGCATGCCAGCCGCTATTGAGACATCTCTACCGCAGCAGCAATCAATTCTTTGATCCGACTCGACCAGCACCTTGATTTGTAATTGTTGATTTGTTCATGTTACTGTTGATCATCAGCGCCACTCTCCACTGTTTTTGCTAGTTATCGATTATTATTATTATTATTATTATTATTAATTGTCATTATTATTATTGTCATTATCGTTATCATTGTTGTTATTATTGTCATTATTGATCTTAGTTGATCTCATTTTTTTGACGATCCACCCGTTCGTGTCTGTTTATCTCGCGGAATTATTCTTATTCGTCCACTGTTTCTGACTGGAAATGATGTGGTAGTGATAATGTTCTACTGAAATCGGTGTATTCGATTGACCTATCGTTAGTATTTTATTTGAAGTATGCAGCTCATTAGCTTATTGATTCATTTATCAGTTTTCTTTGAATTAATCTCGATAATTGCACTATTATTCCCAGGCCTGAATCGTTTCGTAGCATTGATATGTTCTTATTTTCCTCATTGTTTTTCATTCGTATAATTGATGTTTCATATTTGTTCATGTTGATGTGCACATGTGTTTTTGTGGTGATTTTTACAACGATGGTCAGCAACTATCGTTTGTTCTGAAATCGGTGTATTTGGTAAACCGATTTGAGCCAGTTGCATGACACTTTGTAACGGATGTATTGAGAAGGTTTTGGATTTCATGCAGTTAAAAATTGTCTTAGTTTTATGAGATGTACTTGTTCATATATTGGCCAAGATATTGTTGTAATGAAGTACGATTTGTTTGTGAATGTGAGCGATGATTGTGGCATGAATCGTGTTGTTGGCATCATCAAAAAATTGCGATTCCGTATGCGTATTCTGCTGATCGATGTTTCTGTCAACGTTTCTTTGTATCTTTCTGGTGCCCTCGGTGAATCGCAATTGATCACATGCGCTCTCTCGCCTCACAACATTTCATGGAGATCATTGAAATTTTGAGAGAATTTTGATGTAGTTTTTTGCTAGTATCATTCAAGGATGACTGTATTGTATCATTGATTAGGTCGTATTGGATTAGCAGTGCTGTATCCATTGGACGGAGATATGAATATTGTATTGTTGGTTGAAGGTGTTTACTGGTTATTGTCGTGTATAATAGTTGTTTGATTGAATGAATCTACTGAAATGATTTGTTTGGTGGTTTTTGATTTGTTTCATTGGTGCGATAGGGATTAGAATCGGTTTTATTATGCGTTGTGTTTTAGTCTCATTGATTATTGTTGTTGTTGTTATTATTATCCTTATTATTACTTTTGTTATTATTATTGTTAATATTGTCATTATTACTATTGTCATTTTTGTGTGTTCGAATCTGCTCTGAATTCAGAGCGTTATTATTGTATTATATTCATGAAATATTATTATTATTATTGCAAAATCATTTCATTTTCATTTCTGAAGATTGAACGAATTTCGTACGAACTTATAGTATATCTCTGTTACTGTTCGAACATGTCGTCTATTTTTTCATTCGTGGTGAAATTAATTTTATTATTATTATTTATCATTATTGTTATTATTTATTATCATTGTTATTATAATTAATGAATGTTTTGTTATGATCGTTTTCGTCACTGTTATCATTATTATTCTATTCTTATTGCCAGCGTTGTATAAAAGTTCCTTTTGTGCACTTTATCATTGTTAAGTAGTGTTGAAGGCAGTTTATGACACGATAGAAGCAGCAGATGAAATTAGTATTAAGGTTACTTATTGTTTGGTGGTGTTGAGTACTCTTATTTGTCAATATCNTATTGTTCTGCAATAAACTTTTATTGATAATCAATTGTATCAAGCACTTGAGTTGATCCAATTGCTACTTCTGAATTAATTACAAGTATTCATCATTGAGTTATTAAACAGTTCGCATAATTACACATCTATTGCACAAGAGAACGCGGAGGACAAGGACAATAGCTTGCATCCGCACCCGGCACACCCATGCTGCCTGGTTCTCCGGGTAATCCGTTTCTTCCGGGCATTCCAGGCCGTCCTGGTGTGCCAGCCGGTCCAGGTGGTCCTGGAAGTCCAGGTTCACCGTCTCGTCCTCGTTCTCCTGGTCGCCCGGCTGGTCCTGCTCGTCCGGTTCGTCCCTTTGGTCCCGGTAATCCCCTACCTTTTCTAGAGTCTAGTCCGGGTGGTCCTGGTGGTCCAGGTGGTCCGGGTGGACCTAAAAATCATTTGGATGATTAACTGCTAACGGTTTACGAAGATTACTCGATTGAGTTTCAAACTGAAATGTTCTGAATTTGCATTCTTGAATTCACGATTGAACTCTTGATTACCTTCTGGTCCTGGTAGACCCTCATCACCCACTAAACCAGTGCATCCATTTCTGCCGTTTGCTCCGTCAGGTCCAGGGTTGCCGTTTGGTCCGGGCGGTCCTGGTGGTCCATCGGGCCCTGCTGGACCTGGTGGTCCAGGTGGGCATTTGATGCATTCTTTTGGTAGAAGTGCATCTGCTGGTCCAGGCAAAGCATCCTCACCTGGTGGTCCTGGGGGTCCTGGGAGTCCATCCGCACCATCTGGTCCAGGATCACCTAAAAAATCAACCGTCTATGAACTCGCTTCAAAATCCTGTGAAATTAACTTATTTGACTCGCTCTTTTCGAAATCATTTGTTCAGTTCATTTGAAATCGTCCATCTGCAAAATAGCACTTTTCGTATATTGTTGACATACTCTCGAATGTTTCATCACCGCTTAATCGACCGCTATCAGTTGACCTTTGAAAACTAACCGGCTTCTCCTTGTGGTCCTGGTGGGCAATTGTTTGCGGTTGGCGCACAATCGCAGATCGCCTGACGTTTCAGTCGTTCTAGCATCAGACTTGACGAATCCCCACCGAGCATATCGATGAATCGCATTTGTGAGTCATCAACAGCGGATTGCTTGTAGATGAAGTTGATTTGATTGAACGCATCATTCGAGAGCGTGATGAATTCGTTCATATCCAACATTGCATTCTCATAGATACCGTTCATGTCACGGATCATCTTCATCGATACCAGTAAACTTATCGATAGAATCGACGCGAAACACAGCGATGCCCCCAGCAAATAATACCGTGTACTCATTTCGTCAATATAATCACCAATTTAGTCGGCTGAAAGTTTCATTTTTTTGTTTCATTTCTGTTTTTATCCGTCTTATCCCCGCCACTATGATCAGCCAGTTTCTTCCTATTATCAGACGTTACTATGTAACATTCGTTAACGTTATTGAAACATTACGCATTGTTTTCAAATTCACTGCACCTCATTTGAGAGCGCGAAAATATCTGTCTGAAACAGTTTGTTGGAACAAATTCTATGGACTTAAATCATTTATCGGGCACACTTTCGTTGGAATTATTTGAGATTAATCGACAATATCAATGAGGATGACGAGGAAGGAGATTATGAATTTTGAAACGAGTCATCATTAGGACCTGTTGAAACAGTGGCGATACTGGTTATGTGATAAATTTATTCTACTAGGGGGAAGAAGGGAAATTTTAAGTGAACTGAGACGAAAGGGACGTCGGAAACGAACTGAATGAATTGTTGATGAGGATGTGATGGATCCAGAATCGGATTCCAGCTTTTATAGCTTTCGAAATCGAACAACTCAACTCAACCGGTACTTGTGAAACTAGTCGTGAATGGTGATGGCCATAATCGATTGTTGTGTTGTGACATTTCGTTGAGAACATTATTGACAGTCAATGGTCAAATGATTGACTGAATGTGATTAAGTTGTTTGATCCGAGAACAAATCCCATTATCGCCATTCGCGAGACGTGTGCAATTCGTCATTGTTTCTTTTTTTGAATGGTGATTTATTTGGTGTATGGAAGGAATTTTGAATTATTAAAACATTTTTCATTTCATTTTGTTTCGTTGCAATAATTTATTTCTTTTCTCAGATATTTATTGGCACATGTATCGGTGGTATATTCTTGATAAGACGGACAAGCTATAAGTGAAATTCATCAATTTAATCTTGAATTGTTTCTTGATGTTTTTTGCTCATCAACAAACAAATATATGAGGATATCATCTGAATCTTTGCTGGGAAGTGAATGATTTTTTCGAAGCGAGGTTAATGATGGTAATAATGAATGTGATGGTCGTATTGGGCGAGAAAATCTGAGCGAAAAATACGCAATATTTGATGTTTAATTGGTGATTATTTTGTTATTGCTGTTAATTTTTTCTTCTTCAGTTTTCAATTATTCTTTCAGCTTCGATTAGTGTCGTTTATGAATTCTTTTATTGTCTTGACAAGTTATTCAATTGATATTCTTATTGATATACCATTGAAACAATGCTGTCAATGTTATCCCGTTCAATAAATAAACGATAAATCACCAAAAATGAACCGGTTTCTAATTAATGAGCTTAGTATCTGGATGCATGTACGTATAATACGTTCAAGTAATATCGATGAAACCACAAAAAAGTGCTCACTTCATTTCAATCATTTCAGTTCTCTCTTTCTTTGATAAATCGGTTTCGATGGAAATATTCTTTGGTAAAGATTGAGCAATTTGTTATTATTCACAATGCTTTCCTGAATATTGGTTCGTATACGGATCTGATCTGGGCTTTTTTCCTGGTTGTCGATGGGATTTTTAAAAAAAGTGTAGATAAGATTGGTTTTCTCGTGCGTTTAAATCATTTCTTTCGTTTGTTTCATTACCATTGGCAACACAATGACGATTTTGGTGCGAACGCCCTCTTCAAGGTTTCATTAAACGAAACATTTCGTCAATGTTGTAATCAAGATGTTTGTAAAAAATTCATACTGAACCATGAAAAAACATCTCATTCGATTGATCAACTTCATTTTCTTCTTTTCAATCATTTCATTATTTCAAATCATTTCAGTTGTTTCTTTCCATAAATCACTATATCCTTTGATAATTCGGTTTTGATAAAAGTATTCTTTGTTAAAGATTGAGCAATTTGTTATTATTCACAATGCTTTTCTGATAGCAGCATATGAATAGCTATGAGGAATGTGATATTCTGAGATAATGTCATAAATCTTAAGGGAAAAGAGAAGACTGCGGTCGTACTTTGCAAAAATCAACACAACCATTCGATGAATGATCTATCTCTGCGATAGCTCAAAGTTTGAGTATCCGACCGGAACTCGGTGCGTCGCAGGTTCGACTTTCGTTTGTGTTGCGCAGGTTTATTCGAAACCGAGTGGTGTAACAACTGTTTGATTGTTCGTAAAACTTATGAAGCAACTTCAATAAACTCGATTATGAATTTGTTTGATTTCTTGCTGAATTTCTAACAAAACAGACGTTTTTTTCGGCACCATCACAAATTTTTTCTTTATGAGTGACTTCCTTTGAAGGCAGCTAATTCAATGCAACTCCATAAAGTCGAAAAGAGAAGACTCCGTAACGACCTGTACATAAAAGAGCATCTTCCGTAACGACTTCAATGCTTTACGCTTCTCGAAATATCAGCTATTCGATCGTTTTCCTCGGAGCTAGTT